TGTCTGTCTGTGTAGCCGATCGCCATGGACGAGCCTGTCTGTCTCTCTGTCTGTCTCTCTCTGTAGCCGATCGCCGTGGACGAGCCTGTCTGTCTCTCTGTCTGTCTGTGTAGCCGATTGCCGTGGACGAGCCTGTCTGTCTGTCTCTCTCTGTAGCCGATCGCCGTGGACAAGCCTGTCTGTCTCTCTGTCTGTCTGTCTGTGTAGCCGATCGCCGTGGACGAGCCTGTCTGTCCGTCTCTGTCGACGATCGCCGTGGACGAGCCTGTCTCTCTCTCTCTCTGCAGGGAGTCGCTGTGGATGACCGTGTCTCTCGCTGTGTGTGCCGTCTTCCTCTTCTTCCTGCTGGTGACCGGATGCATCCTCAGGATCGGTCGGGACAGGCTGTGCCAGTCCGCCCTGAAGGACTCGGGGATCCACAGGTGAGTCCGTGTCCGCGGGCCGGAGGCGTGGAGGAGCCTGGCCAGCCCCTTGTCCGCTAACACTGCTGTGTGTTGCAGCTGTCAGGAGGCGGAGGGCAAGAACTGGGCCAGCCCCTACACAGGGCAGCACTTCTACTCCAACCTGCACACAGCGGAGGTACGGGGCTCTCTCACGGCAGTGTGTGTGTGGAAGAGTTCAATCTGGATTCACTCACACGCTCTCTCTCCTCCCTCTCTCCTCTTCTCTACAAAATCTTTAATTCCTCTCTCCCCTTTCTCTCCCCTTTCTCTCCCCTCCTCTTACTCCTCCTCCTCTGTCTCTCCCCTCTTTCCTCTTGTCTCTCCTCCCCTCTCTCCTCCCTCCTCCTCCTCCTCCCTCTCTCTCCTCCCTCCCTCCTCCTCCCCTCTCTCTCCTTCCCTCTCTCTCCTCTCTCCTCTCTCCTCTCTCCTCTCTCCAGACGTCAGTGTGGGTGAATTTCTTCCTCTGGGTCCTGGTGTTTGCGTTGCTGGTCATTCAGAAGAAACGGGGCTCAGAGTTCAGTCCGCTGAGCGCGGGGGACCCCGAGTGGAGCACCTCGGAGGCCGATCCCATCTTCCCCCGCCCCTCCCGGTCGTGAAGAGGGAGCCCCCGGCTCTCTGGAGACCCCCCCCCCCTCTCTCTCCCTGGGCTTTAACCCTTTCCCTGCCGCTGACACTCGGGGGATCCCCGTGACGCTGCCCTTGCACTGCGCCCCTGCAGCACTGACGCCACGCCCCCTTCTTTCTGGGGGCACCCCGATCAAGTGAGAAGCTCCGTCATGCACACTCTCCTCTCCTCTCCTCTCCCCCTGTCCTGACATCTCCCTCTCCTGCCCTCCGACGGGCTACTGACACACTGCCAGGGCAGGCTGGGTAAACACTGATGGAGTCATGTTCATGTGAGGGGGGCGGGGAGAGGAGGAGGAGAGAGGGAAGGGGAGAGGAGGAGGGACAGAGGAGGAGAGAGGGGAGAGGAGAGGAGAGAAGATAGGAGAGGAGGAGGGATGGGAGATGGGAGAGGAGGAGGGATGGGAGATGGGAGAGGAAGAGAGGAGGTGGCCTGTGTCCAGGAAGGGGAGAGAGGAGAGGAGGAGGAGGAGGAGAGAGGGGAGGGAAGGGGAGAGGAGGAGGAGGAGGAGGCAGGTCCATGGAGAAAAGACGACTCGGAAGCAAAGCCTGGCGCTCAGACGTTTTTATTGACCGGATGCCATCTTCCCCCTGACGGGGGCCAGCTCCGGGCACGATGGGGAGAGGGACTGCTCTCTTCAGCTCCCGCCGGGTTGTTTCAGGTTTTCAGGCGTGATCCAGGCCTCCACTAGGCGGCAGCAGTGAGCCCCCCCAGGCCGGGGTGGGGATGTGGGCGGGGGGGGGTCTGATCTGGAGCATCCACGCGATGCTCTCCGTCTGGTTCCCGGAGCTCAATCCGTGCCCCGTCTGCCGGGCTCGGATTCCGCCTGTCCCCTGTGCCCCCGCGGTGTCGGTGTTCAGGAGATACCGAGCTCGTTAAGAGGCGTTCATCGCTGGGAATTTTTTTTCCCAATTGTTTTCTTGTATTGTTTATCTTTTGCCAATCCAATAAAAATCTTATCTTGAAACCTCCGGGCGCACAGAGGCCACTGTGGTGTTGTGTGATGTGATGGTGTTGTTGTGCTGGGGTGGGGTTGTGTGTTGGTGTGATGGTGTTGTTGTGCTGGGGTGGGGTTGTGTGT